TTCTGTACTGATGACAGATGAAGTGGAGCAGTTGTAGCCGGTGTCACCAGCGAACAAAGCCACTAGTCGGTCTACAAAACCGACAAGTTGATAAATGAGACACCTGTCGCTTTTGTAAACCATTTATGCACACAGTGTCAGACACAGCAACATCTTGGGATCTAGAGACACTTGTCTAATCTATAGACAAACCTACTTTCACTAGTGGCTTTCTGATAAATGGTTTTGAAAACCGACAGCTTGACACTGCACTGCAACATCATGGGATCTTGATACAATGAATTCTTCAACGCTTGTCCATCCTTTGTACGAAGACCTACTGACTGGTAGGTGGGTAAGACGCATAGGCAACAGTTAGGCAACTTTATTCCGAAACGTTTCGCCTACACAGTAGGCTTCTTCAGTCGAATACAGAAAGTAGGCAGGAACAGTAGAGATGTGAAGACGATATTCACAAGACCTACTGACGCTAGTGGATGGTTCCACTGTGATCTCGCCTCCTCCTGCTTCAACTTACCCGACAGTATATAAGCCACTTTTCCCAACATTTGCTGTACTTTCTACAAGACTGATGGACTGAACACATCGATTCCAGGCTGAGGGACTGATTACCTTAAACTCCTCCTCTCCTTATACCTTTCTGCTTTTGTATTGGACTGATGAAGCCAGTGTGTGGCGAAACGTTCCCTCAATAAAGATACCCATGTGTTGCACAGGTGTCTAATTTATCAACTTGCCGGTTCTCTGAACCATTTACCTACTGAACATCAAAATGGTATACAATACCGACAGGTTGTTAGATAAGACACATATGCAACAGTTAGACAACTTTATTCCGAAACGTTTCGCCTACACAGTAGGCTTCTTCAGTCGAATACAGAAAGTAGGCAGGAACAGTAGAGATGTGAAGACGATGTAATCAGTCCATCACCCTTAAAGTCGTAGAATTTGAGGTTGTCAGTCCCTCGGCCTGGAGAAGTTCAGTTCCATAGTCAGGAACTATGGACTATGGAACTGAACTTCTCCAGGCCGAGGGACTGACAACCTCAAATTCTACGACTTTAAGGGTGATGGACTGATTACATCGTCTTCACATCTCTACTGTTCCTGCCTACTTTCTGTATTCGACTGAAGAAGCCTACTGTGTAGGCGAAACGTTTCGGAATAAAGTTGTCTAACTGTTGCATATGTGTCTTATCTAACACATTTACCTACTGCTTTGTATGAGCCAGTAGGCCTGCTGCAGTGTTCCTCCATTCTTATGTTCTTATATTCTGTTGGTTGGCAAGACTCCCTCCATCTTCCTGAACGTCTTATAAAGTCCGCAGCAGTCAACAACCGGCTGGCTTACACACCCAAACATTCCTCCCTCTCAGCACACGAACCTGTTCCTCTTAGTCTCAAAAATTCGCAAGAGTTGTAATTTTTTTTTTCTAAGAGGACGTATCCGAAACACTTAGCAAGTGGATAAAATGTCGTGGGAACTGGAAGCATAGACTATAGTGCAGTAAGATTTAATGTTGGGTAAAAGGACACAAGCGCAACTAATGCGACATATTATAGAGGCAACGTTTCGCTCTCCAAGAGCTTTGTCAAGCCCCTTACAAACAATGTGATGAATGCAGGGACCTAGAGGGGTATATGTTGGTACAGAGTGAGGTGTCCTTGTATTGTCTGTAACGGCTTGACAAAGCTCCTGGAGAGCGAAACGTTGCCACAATAAAATGTCGCATTAGTTGCATTTATGTCCTTTTACCTAACATATTGTCGATAATTCTACCAACATTATTACAGTAAGATTTAATACTTATCCCGGCCTTAAGGAAAGGGTTTTAAACGTGGGAATCTTCACGCATGAGAGAAGGGGTCAGTGATCACGTCTTGTCTGTATCTCAGACCAGTGTTAATAAACACACTGGACCACAGTACCCGAGACCAAGGTTAATAAACACACTGGACCACAGTACCCGAGACCAAGGTTAATAAACACACTGGACCACAGTACCCGAGACCAAGGTTAATAAACACACTGGACCACAATAACACAGTACCTACCTTTTCACACACGACTTGAGTGACCTGAATATATAATGAGTCCCACCTGCAGGCTATCAATCAGAGCCAACACAGTGAACTATAACCTCAATCACTAACCACACACACGCACTAAACCCGTCTCGGGGTGACCTTGAGCCAAGGACACAATTATCTAAACATTGAAACATACTATAAGATACAGTGGAAAAAACACTATGTACATTTATGGGATTTAATGAAGGAAATGTATCGTCAACAGTAGCTTCTTCAGTCCTAAACAGATGTTTCTGTGATTAAGACATGCGCAACTGTTTCTGTGATTAAGACATGTGCAACTGTTTCTGTGATTAAGACATGCGCAACTGTTTCTGTGATTAAGACATGCGCAACTGTTTCTGTAATTAAGACATGCGCAACTGTTTCTGTAATTAAGACATGCGCAACTGTTTCTGTAATTAAGACATGCGCAACTGTTTCTGTAATTAAGACATGCGCAACTGTTTCTGTAATTAAGACATGTGCAACTGTTTCTGTAATTAAGACATGCGCAACTGTTTTGGAATTAAGACATGTGCAACAATTGGGTATCTTTACTGTTGAACATATGCGTCTTGATCATCTTGTCGGTATTTATACCATTATCACTATAGATGTCTCTGTATTAGGACTGAAGAAGCCACTTGTAGTGAGATTTTTCTTTAATGTCATAAGAATATAAGAAAGGAGGAACACTGTAGCCTGCCTACTGGCCTATACTAAGCAAGTTTTTCTCAAACTCAAACTCAAGTTTGTTCCACATATTTACGGTATCAGTACATCCTGTACAACCTTATACCAGGTTCTTAATGAGTCACTGACCACCTGGTAACATTATGACCAGCCTCCAGATTTTTCCTTACGAATTAAGCAACGACTCAAACCACGGAACAGGTGGGATTTAAACCCATGGCGAGTTAGCCATAAAACTCCAACAACTCTTTAAATTTGGTTTCTCGCTGCAAACAAAGCACACCTGACAACACAAATAGATGAAAAATACTTAAATACATCCTGGGGTTAATATCTAAGATCTAAATCTATAGTTGTGTGTATATTAATTGGCACAGTAATGAGATAAGACATTATTTTTAGAAAATTAACATTTATTTAAAAAATACACTGCAATGATATGACAAATAATTGATTTAATAGGAGATATGACCATTCTTTGCTTTTATAAGCAGTGCTACACGCTGCGGCATAGAATTAACTGACGTTGAACACATTTTTGCAAGTTTGTCATAGTGGCACCAGGTCCTAATAACAGCATTTAGCTTCTCCATAGTTGAACAATCCTGTTTCGTGATCCTGCGTTTGGTTATTACCCAATGATTCTCAATTGGATTGAAGTCAGGAGAGTTTCCAGACCAATTTAGAACGCTGAACCCTCTCTTCGAAGAATGTCAGCATTTGTCTGGAAGTGTGGCATGGAGTAAGATCCTGCCGGAAAATACCTTCTCCATCAGGAAAATCTCCATCCACAATGGGAAGCAAGTGAATTGCCAGGATCGCCTTGTATTTGTCAGTGTTCATCGTTCCCTTCAACAATAACAAGCCGTCCAGCGCCTTTAGCAGTAAAACTTTTTAAGTGAATGTTCTGGCGCTTGTTGAATGTGTTCACTCCGAAGAGTTTCTCTGCTCCATCTCACTATCACTAATATGTACCCACGCACTTCAAAATGCTCATCTGAAAATATAACTTTTCTCCATTCATCTGTCGTCCATCCCTTATGATCGAGTTCCCACCGCTGCCGTTTTTTCTTCAACAAAGCAGCAGTCAATAACTGTTTCTTTACCGTCTTTCTGGCAGTTCTGCCAACTTCAAGGAGCCTTCGTCAACAGTTGAAGAAGCAACATTTACGTCAGCTCCTTCACACCGTGAGGTGTTGTCTTGAGTTTTCTTCCACATCTTCCACGATGCAGCGCTCCACAATCACCAGTGTTGTCAACTCTCTTCAGAATCCGACCAACAGAGGACTTTGGTACGCTCAAATTTTCGGTGATCTGTCTGATACTTAAATCATGATTTCTAAGAGCTACAATACTTGCACGCTTCCTAGGTGTAACATCCATCATGAATTTCAACAGTAATCATGAACTGAAGGGGATAATTTGGCAAAAACGACATTCATTCATAGAGCATGCTTGCAGGAATAGCCATGCAGAACAACAGCTGTTGTAGCACTGACGAGAGTTACAGGGTAACACCACAGCTGGATGGTTGCCAGAAGTAGGTAGCAAACTCTCCTGAAAAGAAAAGAGCCCAAACTACATTATTCAAGCAGGAGACCAAGGTATATTATGAGGTAATTACAAAATTTGCTTCTTTCCCAATTAATTTGCAGACAATCGTAAATACTATTAAAATCTATAAAGATATACAGCCCAGGCACAGTGGTCACCACCACCATCCTTGACGCAGTGTGGTCAACAGCAGGGCGCGGCCTCCATGGTAGCAACGGTGTGTTGTTAGACTCAGCGGGCTGCCTGCGTCGCGACATGTGCAACAGTTGGGTGTCTTTATTGTTGAAAAGTTTTTCCTACACAGTAGGCTTCTTCAGTCAAATAAAGAGTCAACAGGAGAAGCAGCGAAGTAAAGATGATGTAATCAGTTCATCAACCTTGGAGAAAATAGTATCTGAGGTGGTCATACCGATCACCTAAAATGGTGAGTAAATGAAAAAATGAGTGAAATACTACCCTGTAGATACTCATTTTCGCCACAGATGAGTCAAGAGTGAATTAGTGAAAAGATGAGCGAGATACAGAATTATGTGAATACACGCTTCTCTTGAATTAATATATGAAAATCTGAGAGAGAATATTCTTCGCCTGAGGGAATGATTCATGAGGGTACTCACCCCTTCCCCTCAGCAATGAGTCGTCCATGAATAAATAAAAGATTTACTGAGAATGGTACTCACCTCCCTCACCAATGAGTCTGATCTGCACCAAGCTGGGGTCCTCTGAGTGTTCCTCCAGTACAGTGTCATCTGTCACTGTCAACTCCTGTAATAAGAACAAAAGAATGGAGGAACACTGCAGCAGGCCTACTGGCCCATATTAAGGCAGGGCTTTCTCAAACCCAAACCCAATAACAAAAATATGTATATAAACATTATCTCTCAGTCCACAGCAGGATTCGAGCCTGCAAACTCGGCATCAGATTACACAGTACTTTATCCACCTAGCCAGACTCCAGCGTCCTGCTGTGAACTGCGAGATAATGTTATATATATATATATATATTACTGTTGCTACACTCACACACACACACACACACACACCTGTGTACACCATACTACATTTTTTTTAATATATGGTTTAGAAAACTGACAACTTAATAAATGGGACACTTGTCCAACATTTAGGTATCTTTATTCTACCACCGTTCTCTGTATAGATGGTAAAATTAACACAAATGCAATATAATAAGATCCTTTATTGACTACGTTTCGTCCACACAGTGGGCTTCATAAAGTCACAAACAGATCTACCTGTACCGGACTGAAGAAGCCACTGGATAGCGAAACGTTTCCAGAATAAGGAGACCTAAATGTTGCACAAGTATTACCACCACACTACATCTTCACTGTGTGATCCTTCCTCACTAATATTATCACTGTTACAACTCACTAACGATGATTTTAATACTGGCATCATAAAACACTAAGGCAATACAAGGAAACCCCATTTTTTCCTGAATCTGTATTTTTTGTCATAATCAGTTTTCAGCTGAATTTCAGTCTATTAGTTGAAAAGTCCCTGACCTTTCTACGTAAGTGGTCCCTGACCTTTCTACATAAGTGGTCCCTGACCTTTCTACGTAAGTGGTCCCTGACCTTTCTACATAAGTGGTCCCTGACCTTTCTACGTAAGTGGTCCCTGACCTTTCTACATAAGTGGTCCCTGACCTTTCTACATAAGTGGTCCCTGACCTTTCTACGTAAGTGGTCCCTGACCTTTCTACGTAAGTGGTCCCTGACCTTTCTACATAAGTGGTCCCTGACCTTTCTACATAAGTGGTCCCTGACCTTTCTACATAAGTGGTCCCTGACCTTTCTACATAAGTGGTCCCTGACCTTTCTACATAAGTGGTCCCTGACCATTCTACATAAGTGGTCCCTGACCATTCTACATAAGTGGTCCCTGACCTTTCTACATAAGTGGTCCCTGACCTTTCTACATAAGTGGTCCCTGACCATTCTACATAAGTGGTCCCTGACCATTCTACATAAGTGGTCCCTGACCTTTCTACATAAGTGGTCCCTGACCTTTCTACATAAGTGGTCCCTGACCTTTCTACATAAGTGGTCCCTGACCTTTCTACATAAGTGGTCCTTGACCATTCTACATAAGTGGTCCCTGACCTTTCTACATAAGTGGTCCCTGACCATTCTACATAAGTGGTCCCTGACCTTTCTACATAAGTGGTCCCTGACCTTTCTACGTAAGTGGTCCCTGACCTTTCTACGTAAGTGGTCCCTGACCTTTCTACATAAGTGGTCCCTGACCTTTCTACATAAGTGGTCCCTGACCTTTCTACGTAAGTGGTCCCTGACCTTTCTACGTAAGTGGTCCCTGACCTTTCTACATAAGTGGTCCCTGACCTTTCTACATAAGTGGTCCCTGACCTTTCTACGTAAGTGGTCCCTGACCTTTCTACATAAGTGGTCCCTGACCTTTCTACATAAGTGGTCCCTGACCATTCTACATAAGTGGTCCCTGACCATTCTACATAAGTGGTCCCTGACCTTTCTACATAAGTGGTCCCTGACCTTTCTACATAAGTGGTCCCTGACCATTCTACATAAGTGGTCCCTGACCATTCTACATAAGTGGTCCCTGACTTTCTACATAAGTGGTCCCTGACCTTTCTACATAAGTGGTCCCTGACCATTCTACATAAGTGGTCCCTGACCATTCTACATAAGTGGTCCCTGACCATTCTACACAAGTGCGAGTTATCTCTGTATTAATAACAAACGTAAACCAAAATAACAAAATCAAAATCAACGCCTCTCTTCCAGACTAAATAATTTCATTAATAATCATAATTTTTAATAACTAAAAAATTAATGTAAAAGTGTAGCTATAATTGATCTCTACTCTCTATTTACAGTTAATGAGATTTACTATTAAAAATGCTAAATTGCACTAGAAAATAGGTCATAATAAATATAGAGAAATATACTTCAGTCACATATGAATTAATGTTACGATTGGATAAGCTTATAACAAAGATTCTTATGTGTTTTTAAGGGTGCAGCTTAGTAACAACGAACATTAACATCAAGTTCCATGTTTGTGGCAGCTTGTGCAAATATTCATCAATAAGTCTTGACCGAAGTTTTGACTTAAGACTTTTAGTCCTTGAAAAAGTTTGTTTACAAAATGCAAGTGCTGCCAAAGACTGGAAGCACATCTGCCACAAAGTTCTTTGGGTTTACAAATATGTCAGGAAGACCTGAGTAAATGTTGAACACTGCTTTTATTGGTAGTTTCTGAGAGTATTACAGGCTGCTAAATTAATGAGCTTCATCTGAAGTATGAAGAAGAAGAAGAAGAAGAAGAAGAAGAAGAAGAAGAAGAAGAAGAAGAAGAAGAAGAAGAAGAAGAAGAAAGAAAAGGCAGAAAAAAAAGAAAAAAGAAGCAGAAAGAAGAAAAAGTGGAAAGAGAAAGAAGACAAGCAGCAACAGAAGACAAACAGCAGCAGAAGAGGAAGAAGACAAACAGCAGCAACAAGAGAAGACGACGACGACAAGCAGCAGCAGCAGCAGCAGCAGCAGCAGCAGCAGCAGCAGCAGCAGCGGCAGCAGCGGCAGCAGCAGCAGCAGCAGCAGCAGCGGCAGCAGCGGCAGCAGCAGCAGCAGCAGCAGCAGCAGCGGCAGCAGCAGCGGCAGCAGCAGCATCAGCATCAGCATCAGCATCAGCAGCAGCAGCAGCAGCAGCAGAGACGCAACATGTACGTAACTTACTCTGGTAGCATCATTGTAGCCCACGATGACTGCCGTGTACCACTGAGTGGTACCTTCAGCACGGTAAACTTGTACTCTGAATCCCACCAGGACGGAGGGCGTGGAGAGGAGAATCCTCTGTCCATCCTGCTCGCCCACCCACGCCCGCAGCGCCTCCAGACACTCCTCCCCGCCCACGCCCGCGCAGTCACCCTCCTGTACAAACAGAATTTACACTGTGAATACTACATCATATAAAAATGTCATTTACAAACAGTTTTCACTGTAAATACGTCATGTAAAGTAACTTTTAAACGCGTAATTTACATTGTAAATACATGTAAAATATCCTTCAGAAACAATATGTCAAATGTCATTTACAAACACACAGCTTTAACTGTAAATGCTTCATGTAAGAACGTAATATTTAAACACGTAATTTACTTTGTAAATACGACATGTAAAATATCCATCACAAACACACGATTTACATTATGTAAAAATGCTATTTCCAAACAAAATTTGCAGCGTAAAAAATAAACGTAAATTGTCATTATTAAAACATGTCACACAATGAGTTAAAAGTATCACATTTCATCATGTTTTAACCTATTTTTAACACGTGTCATTACGATTTCTTAAGTCATAATAACACTGTTATACATACATGTATAATATTATGTTTTAAGACGGTATGTATAGTTACAGTTGAACATTTCATTATCTATGATATCTTGAAACAAATGTGTAATGTATAACGAGAGGGGGTAAAGGAGGTTTTGTATGCGAGGGGCTTGGACTTCCAGCAGGCATGCGTGAGCGTGTTTGATAGGAGTGAATGGAGACAAATGGTTTTTAATACTTGACGTGCTGTTGGAGTGTGAGCAAAGTAACATTTATGAAGGGGTTCAGGGAAACCGGCAGGCCGGACTTGAGTCCTGGAGATGGGAAGTACAGTGCCTGCACTCTGAAGGAGGGGTGTTAATGTTGCAGTTTAAAAACTGTAGTGTAAAGCACCCTTCTGGCAAGACAGTGATGGAGTGAATGATGGTGAAAGTTTCTCTTTTTCGGGCCACCCTGCCTTGGTGGGAATCGGCCAGTGTGATAATAAAAAAAAAATAATAATAATACTATTCACAACATCACGGGGATACTACCTTCCTAACAGCAAGGTCTAACACTTCCTAACAACAAGATTTAGCACCCTCTAACAGTAAGCTCTAGCACTTTTCTAACAGTAAGGTCTAATATTTCCAAACTAAGTTCTAATACTTCCTAAAAGCAAGGTCTAACACTTCCTAACAGGAAGAGCCAGAGGGATCAATAAGAGAACAGAGGTGGATGACCTTTGCTGCACTGTCAACAGAGGGTTAATAATGTCTTACTGGCACACACACAACACCTCTGTAAACATTACACGTTCTCACACTACATGGTAAACATCACACGTTCTAACACTACATGGTAAACATCACACATTCTAACACTACATGGTAAACATCACACCTTCTAACACTATATGGTAAACATCACACGTTCTAACACTACATGGTAAACATCACACGTTCTAACACTACATGGTAAACATCACACGTTCTAACACTACATGGTAAACATCACACGTTCTAACACTACATGGTAAACATCACACGTTCTAACACTACATGGTAAACATCACACGTTCTAACACTACATGGTAAACATTACATGTTCTCACACTAAATGATAAGCATCACACGTTCACAACAAACAACACACTAACTAACGTTCACAACAACACACTAACTAACGTTCACAACAACACGCTAACATTCCCAACAAACAACACACTAACAAACATTCCCAACAAACAACACACTAACAAACATTCCCAACAAACAACACACTAACAAACATTCCCAACAAACAACACACTAACAAACATTCCCAACAAACAATACACTAACGTTCCCAACAATAGAGATTATACACACATGTCAATAACCCGCACATTTACAAAGTCACAGTGTGACTTTGTAAATGGTCCAAGTTGGACCGAAACGTCGTCGTAAGCGTCTCTCTCCTGTGTGCGGGTTATTGGTGTATTATCCCAGTCACGGTATTGCGCTTTTTTTTTATTATATACATCTTACAAGGAGTAAGTCACACTGATTCAACAGGGTTATCCTTGGCTAAATTCTATACACATCTCTATACAACCTCCTTCCTCCGGCACATACACAAGCACCTCTGCCGTGTGTTTCAGTGTTTTAAAGCAAGCACAACCACCTCTAACATGTGTTTTAAAGCAAGCATAACCACCTCTAACATGTGTTTTAAAACAAGCACAACCACCTCTAACACGTGTTTTAAAGAAAGCACAACCACCTCTAACACGTGTTTTAAAGCAAGCATAACCACCTCTAACACGTGTTTTAAAACAAGCACAACCACCTCTAACATGTGTTTAAAGCAAGCACAACCACCTCTAACATGTGTTTTAAAGCAAGCACAAGCATCTCTAATATGTGTTTTAAAACAAGCACAACCACCTCTAATATGTGTTTTAAAGCAAGCACAACCATCTCTAACATGTATTTTAATGTTTTAAAGCAAGCATAAACACCTCTGACGTGTTTCAGTGATTTAAAGCAAGCAGCAGGTACGGGAAGGTTCTTGCCCACCAATCTTACACACACTAACTTCCCACGACCTCAATCTATGTGACTTCCGCAACGCAGTTGTCAGGGATGACACACTCGCCAGGCTGCAGTTTATTTTCAACCTCACTCGCTGTCTGGAATATGACGAATTTTTCTGGAAGTACAGGCGTAATTCCAACGTTTTGCTCTGAGCGAAAGGTTCAGTCTAAGCCGACTGGCATTCAATTTTGAAAAGTATACGTCCTCTGCACTCAGTACTCTGGCAGTACAGGTCCTCTGCACTCAGTACTCTAGCAGTACAGGTCCTCTGCACTCAGTACTCTGGCAGTACAGTCCTCTGCACTCAGTTTCTCTGGCTGTACAGGTCCTCTGCACTCAGTACTCTGGCAGTACAGGTCCTCTGCACTCAGTACTCTGGCAGTACAGGTCCTCTGCACTCAGTACTCTGGCAGTTACAGTTCCCCTGCGCTCAGTACTCTGGCCCGTACAGGTCCTCTGCACTCAGTACTCTGGCAGTACAGGTCCTCTGCACTCAGTACTCTGGCAGTACAGGTCCTCTGCACTCAGTACTCTGGCAGTACAGGTCCTCTGCACTCAGTACTTCTGGCAGTACAGGTCCTCTGCACTCAGTACTCTGGCAGTACAGGTCCTCTGCACTCAGTACTCTGGCAGTACAGGTCCTCTGCACTCAGTACCCTGGCAGTACAGGTCCTCTGCACTCAGTACTCTGGCAGTACAGATCCTCTGCACTCAGTACTCTGGCTGTACAGGTCCTCTGCACTCAGTACTCTGGCTGTACAGGTCCCTGGCCTCAGTACTCTGGCTGTGCAGGTCCCTGGCCTCAGTACTCTGGCTGTGTAGGTCCCTGGCCTCAGTACTCTGGCTGTGCACGTCCCTGGCCTCAGTACTCTGGCTGTGCACGTCCCTGGCCTCAATACTCTGGCTGTACAGGCCCCTGGTCTCAGTGCTCTGGCTGTACAGGTCCCTGGCCTCAGTACTCTGGCTGCACAGGTCCCTGGCCTCAGTGCTCTGGCTGTACAGGTCCCTGGCCTCAGTACTCTAGATGTACAGGTCCCTGGCCTCAGTATTCTGGCTGTGGAGGTCCCTGGCCTCAGTACTCGGGCTGTACAGGTCCCTGGCCCCTGTACCCTGGCTGTACAGGTCCCTGGCCTCAGAACTCTGGCTGTACAGGTCCTTGGCCTCAGTACTCTGACTGTACAGGTCCCTGGCCTCAGTACTCTGACTGTACAGGTCCCTGGCCTCAGTACTCTGGCTGTACAGGACCCTGGCCTCAGTACTCTGGCTGTACAAGTCCCTGGCCTAAGTACTCTGATTGTACAGGTCCCTGGCCTCGGTACTCTGGTTGTACAGGTCCCTGGCCTCGATACTCTGGTTGTACAAGTCCCTGGCCTCAGTACTCTGGTTGTACAAGTCCCCGGTCTCCGTACTCTAGTTGTATAAGTCCTTGGCCTTAGTACTCTAGTTGTGTAAGTCCCTGGCCCAAGAACTCAGGTTGTACAAGTCCCTGGCCTCAGTACTCTGGTTGTACAAGTCCCTGGCCTCGGTACTCTGGTTGTACAAGTCCGTGGCCTCGGTACTCTGGTTGTACAAGTCCATGGCCTCGGTACTCTGGTTGTACAAGTCCCTGGCCTCAGTACTCTGGTTGTACAAGTCCCTGGCCTCAGTACTCTGGTTGTACAAGTCCCTGGCCTCAGTACTCTGGTTGTACAAGTCCCTGGCCTCAGTACTCTGGTTGTACAAGTCCCTGGCCTCACTACTCTGGTTGTACAAGTCCGTGGCCTCGGTACTCTGGTTGTACAAGTCCATGGCCTCGGTACTCTGGTTGTACAAGTCCCTGGCCTCAGTACTCTGGTTGTACAAGTCCCTGGCCTCAGTACTCTGGTTGTACAAGTCCCTGGCCTCAGTACTCTGGTTGTACAAGTCCCTGACCTCAGTACTCTGGTTGTACAAGTCCCTGGCCTCAGTACTCTGGTTGTACAAGTCCCTGGCCTCAGTACTCTGGTTGTACAAGTCCCTGGCCTCAGTACTCTGGTTGTACAAGTCCCTGGCCTCAGTACTCTGGTTGTACAAGCCCCTGGCCTCAGTACTCTGGTTGTACAAGTCCCTGGCCTCAGTACTCTGGTTGTACAAGTCCCTGGCCTCAGTACTCTGGTTGTACAAGTCCCTGGCCTCAGTACTCTGGTTGTACAAGTCCCTGGCCTCAGTACTCTGGTTGTACAAGTCCCTGGCCTCAGTACTCTGGTTGTACAAGTCCTGGCCTCAATACTCTGGTTGTATAAGCCCCTGGCCTCAGTACTCTGGTTGTACAAGTCCCTGGCCTCAGTACTCTGGTTGTACAAGTCCTGGCCTCAGTACTCTGGTTGTACAAGTCCCTGGCCTCAGTACTCTGGTTGTACAAGTCCCTGGCCTCAATACTCTGGTTGTACAAGTCCCTAGCCTCAGTACTCTGGTTGTACAAGTCCCTGGCCTCAGTACTCTGGTTGTACAAGTCCCTGGCCTCAGTACTCTGGTTGTACAAGTCCCTGGCCTCAGTACTCTGATTGTACAAGTCCC